CAAATATTCTGTAACATCCTTAGATATAACACAGACAGCTTCGGCGGAATTAGATATCATTTCAGCCATTGACACTAAAGCTCCCAACTGCCTCAAAACCCCCGTTCTTTTCCTTTCCACAGAGGGCATGTGACACAACCTATATGCACCATAACTTGACAAACCAAACAACTGTTGCTCCCAAACGCACAAGCAAGTATACGTGATTGTATAAGTAATATAATAATAAGAAGAGTATCGAACCCACAAAGACTTGTGTTAACTACCTATTAATTTCACCAAAATCTTTATTCAGTCGAGTTAATCAGAGTTGAATAGTGTGATTATAACTAAGCAATGAATGTAACAGTAACTAATTAAACATGAAGAAAATGGTTGTTGAGAATTCAGTAGAGATAACATTCCAGAGTTGTGATCGATTTACCAATCCTATTGCGTTCTAATTAACTCTACCTTTCATACAATTCGCTCATGGTTACTAATTAATTGAGTAATTGCTCTTGTACCATTCTCCCGAATTACTACTCGCCTACTCGAAATAGAATAGCGCCTATATTCCTATGGAATCAATCTATTAAGAATGCATTAAGATTACGATATTTAATTAAGCATGGTGACTAGGTATATTCCTATCCTAACCGCAAATCCGCACCCCACTCAAAGTTAAGATCATGCTTTCTTTAATTCTTCTCTAATCTAAACGTAGCTTTCCTAAGCATAGCATAGATAGTAAATAGAACCTAATTGTTGGCTAGACAATTAAGCAATTAATCACAGAATTGAAGAAACAACCATATATTAGCGAACTATAATCAAGGTAAAATCAACATCGAACAACAATATTATGGCTAAATCACAACCCTAGAACTTATGGGTTTTAGCCACTCATGATAAAGTTAAAATTTTTTACAAGTGTTTGAATAGTTGAAAATACTGAGAAAGATGAAGAAAAACTGAGAATCCTTGCTCCTGAGTGTTCTGTGTGTGTGCTTTCCTCTCAAAGTGGCGTCTCCCCCTCCAAAATAGGTTTAGACTTCTTTTTATACGAGTCGGGGGTTTGTAGGGCCGTCAAAACCTTGTCCCGAACGAAATAGGAGAGTGTCCCGTTACCCAGCGTCCAGGGTAGCACGTCGCACTAGCCCTGGTGCTGAGCTGTTGGCCAAAAATTTCAGGTCTATAATTTGTGCCGCTTTTTTCTTCTGTTCTCTTTTTGATTCAAATCTTGCACTTTCGTCCCACATTTTCTCCGGGTGACTTCTACACATAAAAATACCATGAATTAGAATAAATTATTACATTACACATACGAAATCCACAAAACATGAATAAAATGCTAGGCAATATGCATATAAATATACATACTTTAAGCCGAATATCAACACACCACACTTAAACTCTTGCTCGCCCTCGAGCAATGGAACTATTAACTACACCCCAACCACTTACATATCAACTATAGAGGAGAAATTCAATTTCTTTTCAAATCATGCACTCTACCTTTGACTATGGTCGTTACCGGCAATCAAGCATGAACATATGAAATTCACATTCGTCCAATTATAAATATGTCCAAGTATAAGCAATTTAATTCAACCAATTCCAACAACCTACCCATAACCACCCTACCTCAAGAGCCGACTTGTTACCACTAAGCACTCTCAACTCGCGCACTCACCCAACAAGAGAAGTTAACCATATCATCAATCCGTCATGAGACCATGTGCCCTCACCAACAAATAAGGAATAGTCCACATATTCAAATATAACTTTGAACATAATTTAAGGACATCAAACAATTTTAAAAAAGTCACTCACTCTCACAAAGAAATTCATGTGCATCCCGTGGTCATACCATAAGCTTGCCCGTAGTGTATATCGCTACTAATCTAAGCTAGTCAAGTCTAGGATCAATTAGGTCTTTCCGGGTTGTAATGTAGGCTAGAGCACGGGTATAATACATTTAGAATAGTGACTAACCCTCCTAAGCACTTTAATATACTATACTTAATAATCAAGCACATATTCTTCTCAACCAATTCACTTGCCACAAACCATACACAACATAGCCCTTTTTTCAATTAAGCACTTCTACATCCCCGCTAGCACGAATTAGTAAGATTAGGAGGTGTGTGTTTTTTCTTTTCGAATATCCACATTATTTGTATTTTTGTTTTTGACTTTTTTTTCTACACAAACTCCTTACATTAAGGTTCGTCGTCTAGTGGCCTTTTTATAACTTAGTGCACCTTGTGGGCCCTTCCCTGGTTCCGCACAAAAGCTATCAACCAATCTCTCACCTTGATTCTTTTAGCGACTAAGTGCCTTCGGAGGTAAAGGCTCAACAAGCTTAAGTTAAGAACAAAATTAGGGATATGGCTTGTAATGTGGGTGTCAAGGAAAAGATCTAAAGGCTCAAAGGTGCAAACAATGGGAAAATTTTATTTGTAAGTGACAAGAACATTTATGATCGAGCAAAGAACTGCCTATGTCATCTCCTAGACTAGCACAACTTAAAGATTTTGCTTTGACTAACACACATGGAAAGTTCTAGACTACACAGAATAACACAGAATATCATGAATCCTTACACACACATTGCATATGACTCAATCAAGACGGTTTTGTTCAACTTTCAAGTCAAGCAAGTACATACAATTGAGAAATTTTAAGCATTAATTCACTAGGTGACATACAAGTCAAACAACTGAGAAAAGGTGTCACAGAGTAGGCTATTTATTTCACTTAGGCAGCACATTTCAAATCAAATATACCTGCAATCAAGCATGAAGATACGAAATTCACTTCCTTCCCGTTTTAAACATGCCCAAGTATTAGCAATTTAATTGAACCAATTCCAACAACCTACCCATAACTATCTTACCTCAAGAGACGACTCATTACCACTAAGCACCCTCAACTCGCGTACTCACCCAACTAGAGAAGTTAACAATATCACGAGTCCATCATGAGACCATGTTCCCTTACAAACAACCAAGAGAGTGAATATAGAAATAGTCCATACATTCAAATATAACTTTGAACATAATTTAAGGATATTACACAATTGAATAAAAGTCAATCACTCTCACAAAAAAATGTATGTGCATCCCGTGGTCGTACCATATGCTTCTACTAATATAAACTAGCCAAGTCTAGGATCAATTAGGTCTTTCGGGGTTGTAATGTAGGATAAGGGACGGTTAGGATACATTTAAGAATCGTGACTAACCCTCCTAAGCAAAATACACTACACTCCCGCTAGCACGAAATAGTAAGATTAGGAGGTGTGTATTTTTTTCTTTTTGAATATCCACATTAATTGTATTATGTTTTTTTTTTTGACTTTTTTTTTCTACACTCCTTATATTAAGGCTCATCGGATAGTGGCCTTTTTATAACTTAGTGCACCTTGTGGGGCCTTCCCTGGTTCCACTCTAAAGCGATCTCCTAATCTCTCACCTTACTTCTTTTAACGACTAAGTGACTTCGAAGGTAAAGGTTCAACAAGCTTAAGTTAAGAACAAAATTAGGGACATGGCTTGTAATGTAGGTGCCAAGGAAAAGGTCTGCATGCTCAAAGGGGCTAAAAACGAGAAAAATATATTCGTAAGTGACAAACACATTTATGATCGAGTAAAGAATTGCCTACATCATCTCCTAGACTAGCACAACTTATAGATTTTGCTTTAACTAACACATAGGGCAAGTTCTAGACTACACAAGATAGCACAAAATATCATGAATCCTTACACACACATTGCACATGACTTAATCAAGACGGCTCTATTCAACTCTCAAGTCAAACAAGCACATACATTTGAGAAATCTTTAAGCAATAATGCACTAGGTGACATACAAATCAAACAACTGAGAAAAGGCGTCAAAAACTAGGCTATTTATTTCACTTAGGCATCACATTTCAAATCAAATATAATACGAAGACAGAGCGCATGCCATAGCCTAATGTGTCAGCACCAAACATGTCATAGGTATCTAAAGCAACTCAGTTTTCTTCCTATCCTACTCCTAAAAAGATAAAAGCAAAATACCCGGTTCAAGCTACACCCTTGGAAAAGAACCGGTGCCCAAAGAAAAACCAAGGGAATTACTACCTAACTATCCTAATAAAAGCAAAAGAAAATCTTTTTGGTGTTTTTAATCGGACCTTAATCTGTCAAAAAAGCCATGCAAGAGATCCGTTGTCGGGAAAAGTTCGAGCTTTTTCCAAATTATTTTTTGATTTTTCTATATTTTCGTTTTTTTCCCAATAATTTTCTACTATAAACTAAACTATTTCTAACTACGGGTTCTAAAAAAATGAGAATATTTTATACAATTAAACTCAGAAAGTAGTTCCCCCACCCCCCACTTATGTTATGCATAGTCCTCGATGCATGGATCATAGAGAAAAATATTAAAACAAGGATGAGAAATACTCCCCGAGACCCTCTTGGGCCTAGCTAGAAACATGATCCTCAATATTAAAGGTGGGGATGACCCCACACTTAAGCTCAAACATGCTCTTCAACTTCAATTTCGGGTAAGATTTTTCCTAATCTGCAAAACAAAACGTGACACTACAAAAATAAAATAGCAATAAAATACACGCTGGGTTGCCTCCCAAAAGTGCTTGATTAAACGTCGTGGCACGACTCTGCTACTCTACTCATGCTAGGCTCTTTCACTTCTTCCTTATCCCATGAAGTCTAGCCTTTTTGCACGCTCTAGGAAGGTCTCCTCTTTCATATATGGCTATTTTCTCACTCATCTTGTGACACCACCTCCTCTAACTCAGTTTTCTCATATGGATCACTACAACTCATATAAGGACTTTGCTCTACCCCCTTCGATTCCACCATAGTAATCATGCACATATCCTCATAATGCTTAGGGAGATTAAGTTCCGTATACACATTAAAAGTGATTTTCTCATCCTAAACTCTCATCTTCAACTTTCCCTGCCTCACATCAATAATCTCTCCACCAGTAGCTAAGAATGGTCATCCCAAAATAATGGGCACTTCCTCATCTGCCTCGTAATTAAGAACAATAAAATCAGCAGGAAGAATAAAGTTTCCCACTCGAACTAGCACATCCTCAATAATTCCTTCTAGCATCACTAGTGACCTAGTTGTCAACTTTAAAGTGATTGTAGTAGGTCTAAGGACCCTCAATCCTAGTTGCTTGAACAAAGATGATGGCATCAAATTTATACTAGCCCCTAAATCACACAAGGCTCTACCAACTTCTTGTTTCCCAAGAGACAAAGGAATTGTAAAACTCCCAGGATCCTTCAACTTAGGAGGAAGTTTACTCTGAACTCTAGCACTACACTCTTCAGCAAGTGCAACAGTTTCAAACTTTGTATGTCTTCGCTTGTTTGCCACAATATCTCTGAAATACTTTGCATACTTAGGCACTTCCTACAAAACATCCACCAAAGGCAAATTCACACGCACTCGGCTCAAAATATCTAAGAAATTCTTGTACATAGCATCATATTTTTGCTTCTTTAGTCTTTGTGGAAATGGAGGTGGTGGCCTTGTAACAATTACTAACTCTGATCTTTCGCTCTCTTTCTCAGTCTCCTCAAGTGGCTTAGGAACCAATTCTCCTTCAGGCTAGCCATGTAATTCTTTTTCCTTGAAAATTCTTATAATACTCTTCCATTTTTCAAGGAAACCGCATTGACTTGAGCCTTAGGATTAGGCTCAGTATCACTAGGAAGAGCCCCAGCTGGTTGAGTATTTTGGGCACTGGCAAGTTGCCCCATTTGTCACTCTAAATTTCAAATAGTTGCTGACTGGGCCTGCTGGTCAGTCATCAATTACTTTTGCATCTTCTCAATATGACTCGTTGAGTTCGTGGGTTGTTCAACTTGTGGTGGTCTATATTGTTGTTGAGGAGTTTGTGGCCTACACTTATTCTGAGCACCTTGATTTCCACCCCAAGAAAAGTTTGGGTGGTTCCTCCAGTTAGGATTGTAAGTGTTCCCATACTGATTTGTCTAGCTCCTATTTGCATTACCCAAAAACATAGACTCTGGAGTTACTGGGCATAAATCGCTCGTGTGACACTCTCTACATACTACACTAGCTGAACTTGCTGCTTATTAATAACCAAGGTCATTTTATTGACTTGGTTGGCTAATGTGGCAACTTGCACTGATAATGCAAAAATTGAATCTAACTCGAGGACCCCTACATATTTTTAAACTGTGTGTCTACCCATCTCTTCTTGCCAGTCATGATTAATTTTGGAGAATTTTTTTAATAATGCATAAATCTCATCAGAGCTTTTCTCCAACACTTAACCTCCCATTGCAGCATCGACCACATTTTTTGTCTCTGGATGTAGCCCTTCAATGAAGGTATGAGCCAACACTTCATTCATCTGGTTGTGATAAGGACAATCTCTAAGCAGCCCCTTGAACCTCTCCCAAGCTGAATATAAAGACTCACCCGTCTTCTATTTAAAGGCGCCTATCTTACTTCTGATCTTTGCAGTTTTTCCTGAGGGGAAGAATCGTGCCAAAATATTTCTAGCCAGATCACTCCATGATGTAATATAGTTAGCCAGTTCCGCTTTCAACCACCTCTTTGCTTCGCCCAATAGAGAGAATGGAAACAGTGTGACCCTCACATAGTCCGGAGTGACTCCATTAGTGATATAATTGTCACTAATCTCCAAGAAGTTTAGAAAGTATTGTTGTGGATCCTTATGTGGAAGACCCATAAATTGCCTGTTTGTATGTAGCAGCTGGATCATGCTTTGTTTCAGCTCAAAGTGCGCAGTGATTCTGGGCTTTACAATGCTGGAGGTGAGATTAGCAAATCTAGGCATCGCCACCTCCTGAACAACCATATGTTGCTCGTCTGTCATGTCCACAAGTAGTTGAACAAGTGCTTGAACAAAATATTGTCCCTTTCTTCTCTCAACCTCATGTTAAATATTCTCTCAGGTTCTGGGTCAAAGCCTTGAAGTCTATCCTAGCTCCTGACCCTTTGCATTCAAAAAACGTTCCTGGGAGCAGAGCAACCAATAAGAAATGTTAGACTTGACGAAATAGACAACAAAAGTAAAAGCTAGTAAAGTAGTCAATATTCAAGTCCCCGGCAACGGCGCCAAAAATATGTTGCTCCCAAACGCACACGAGTATACGTGATCGTGCAAGTAATACAATGATAAGAAGAGTGTCGAACCCACAGAGACTTGTGTTAACTACCTACCAATTTCACTAAAATTGTTATTCAATCAAGTCAATCAGAGTTGAATAGTGTGATTATAACTAAGCAATGAATGTAACAGTAACTAATTAAACACGAAGAAAATGGTTGTTGAGAATTCAGTAGAGATAACATTCCAGGGTTGTGATCGATTTACCAATCCTATTGCGTTCTAATTAACTCTACCTCTCATACAATTCGCTCATGGTTACTAATTAATTGAGTAATTGCTCTTGTACCATTCTCCCGAATTACTACTCACCTACTCGAAATAGAATAATGCCTATATTCCTATGGAATCAATCTATTAAGAATGCATTAAGATTACGATATTTAATTAATCATGGTGACTAGGTATATTCCTATCCTAACCACAAATCCGCACCCCACTCAAAGTTAAGATCATGCTTTCTTTAATTCTTCTCTAATCTAAATGTAGCTTTCCTAAACATATCATAGATAGTAAATAGAACCTAACTGTTGGCCATACAATTAACCAATTAATCACAGAACTGAAGAAATAACCATATATTAGCGAACTATATTCAAGTTAAAATCAACTTCGAACAACAATATTCATGTCTAAATCTCAACCCCAGAATTTATGGGTTTTAGCCACTCATGATAAAGTTAAACAATTTCACAAGTGTTTGAATAGTTGAAAATACTAAGAAAGATGAAGAAAAACTGAGAATCCTTGCTCCCAAGTGTTCCGTGTGTGTGTTTTCCTCTCAAAGTGGCGTCTCCCTCTCCAAATAGGTTTAGACTTCTTTTTATACGAGTTGGGGGTATGTAGGGCCATCAAAATGTTGTCCCGAGAGAAATAGGAGAGTGACCCATCACTCAATGTCCAGGGTAGCGCGTCGCACTAGACCGGCGTTGAGCTATTGGCCAAAAATTGCAGGACTATTGATAGTAGGCTATATTTATGCAATTTAGACACTAGTTACACTCTAATTTAGCCGCACTTTATTGATATTTGAATGCTAAAAGATAACAAAATGCTCTAATTAAGAATTTGATGCTTTGCAGGAGCTACTTCAAGCTAGGAGGGAGCTAACGAGTGTTTTGGAGTCAACATGGAGTGTGAAAGGCCAATCGAAGGTTAGCCCGGTCAAAAAGGAGCGAGAAAAGTAAGCGAGCTGACCCCTCCAGGTGCGCGGCCGCGAATTGGTCCGCGAACTCAAGGCAGTGAGACAGTGGAAATCCGCGGCCGGATCCACGGTCGAATCCGCGGCCGCGGACGGGCGGACAAAAGCCAAACATGCAGGGTTAATTATGTAATTTTTTAGGCGACTAACCTAAACCTATATGAAGCCTAAACTCGCCCAGAAGTGAGAGATAGCAGGTTTTAGAAGATTTTAGAGGCAAGAACATGGGAGAGAAGACGAATAATTTCCTAAGAGTTTTCATCTTCTTCTTCATACTTCTATTTATTGATTATGAATTATTTTAGTGATTTGTTTTCCATTAGTATGAGTAGCTAAATCTATTATCTAGGGTTGATGGAACCAATTATTGGATGAAGTCTTGACTCTATTTTGTTATAATTGAGCTGTGTTTGTTCTATGATTGTTCAACTACGTATTGTATTGTGGTTAATTGGAAGGGCCCTTGATTAATCGTGTCTAGTTACCTTGTGTTGCTTGAGAAAGAACACTTGGTTAGATTATTGTTGAACAACACCACTTTTGGGTAAGTTAAGAGATTAATTACTTGAATTTAAAAGTGGGGTTAGAAATAACGAAGCTTTGGTGGGATAATTCTGAGTTGCATAAATTGTTAACTAGAGTAGTTCGAGAGAATGCTTCTAGTAAATTATCGTAATTGATCGAGAGATAATTACGGTAGCCCGGAACTCATAATCCTCATAGAGTATTACGGCGAGATTATAGCTAAAGAGTTAAGAATTAATCCGGCAATTGGGGAAATCAATAGCCCTAGATCCTTTTACCCTTGAATTCAATTTTAGTCTTGATTATTGCTAATTTTATTGTCATTTTTCCTTAGCTAAATAAATTCCACTGATTATTCATAAAACTCTTGCATCCGGAAGTTGTCTGAGCTTATCATTAGCATTATTTAAAGTTGTAGTAAATAGGTTAGTTCCCTGTGGGATTCGACTCTGGACTTGAACCGGGTTATATTTGCAGCGACCGCTTAGTCCTTTTTACAAGGCATAGTTGGGCGTGATCAAATTTTGGCATCGTTGCCGAGGAACTAACGGTGTTATTTATTACAACTTAGAAGAATTGCTAGGATTCTTAGTTTAGATCAATTTCTTATGGTGTTCAAATTTTTCCATTGAAATTCTCACGTTTGAATTCTCCTGTGACTCAGGTGTATGCCTAGAAGCTCTTCGAGGACTGGTGAACTTTTTGAAGGACTCTCAGACCCCGAGAAAGCATTCAGGGCATTAAATCAAGCTAACAAGAAGAACAAACAGTTACAACAAAAACACACACTCGAAATTGAAATGGACAACGTGGACGTGTCATCGAAAATAATCGGAATAGTCGGGTTGATCCAAACAATGGAGTGGTGGAACCTCTTGTGCCAAAAGCTGCTCTTTATGATTGGGCACAACCAACTGCTGATAACTTAGCCAACGCCATTGCTGTACCTCAGATACAAGCGGAGACATTCCAGATCACCAACAACATGCTGCATCTGTTGCAAAATAAGGGACTGTTCTCCGGGTCATACATTGAAGACCCAAAACAACATCTGAAGAATTTCCTATCAATATGTGTGACCCAAAGACAGCCGAATGTGACTCCTAAAGCCATTAAGCTATTACTGTTTCCATTCTCTGTGACTGAAGAGGCTCAAACTTGGCTGAATTCGCTCCCAATAAACTCCATTGCCACTTGGGAAGAATTAGTCAAACAGTTCTTAAACAAGTTTTATCCTCCCAACAAGACTGCAAGGCAGATTGATAAGATATTGCAGTTCAGTCAGAAACCAACTGAGACCTTGCAAGAAACCCGGGAAAGGTTGAAGGGTATGCTAGTGAAGTGTCCACACCATGGCATTCCAGATCAGATGCTGGGACAAAGATTCTACATGCGTTTAGCAGATAGTTTGAAGGCTAATGTAGATGCTTCAGCTGGGGGTGCATTTTCTAGCAAGACATTCATAGAGTGCAAGATTCTTCTTGACAAGATAACTCAAAATTCAGGCTGGATGGCTAGAGGTAAGACACTTACACCAATAGTGTATTCTGTTTCTCTTGACCCAAACAATTCCCATGCAGAGAACATAGCCACTCTCACGACTCAGATGAGCATACTGACAAAGAAAATTGATAAGATGGGTACAAAGCAAGTGCACATTGTTGATACAACAAATAGAGGATTGTGCACTCCTTGCATAAACCAGTCGTATGTGTGCTCGTGGAGTGGAGAGAATGACAACCAGGGCTTCAGAGAAGATATGAATTATGTTAATAATTTTGAAGGTCAGAGGAAAGGTGGGCAACAATGAGGACCAGCACCAAACCAGCAGTACAGACCCAACCTGCAACAACACAACCCCAATTCTGGAG